TGCATGTAGATACATAGTTCTCCCAAGACCATTTACTGAAGAATCAGCTATGTCCTTCCCCTCCCCACACCCCACGGTGTGAACTCTTGGTTCGTCAACAATTAGTTGGCTGTATGTGTATGAGTTTATGAGCTCTCTATTCTGTTTTATGGGCCTATTTTTATGCACACAATTGTGCTTTGATTACTGTAGTTTTATAACATAGCTTGGAATTGGAAATTGTGATGTCTAATGGTTTGCTCTTTTTGCTCAAGATTACTTTGGCTATTTAGGGTCCTTTATGGTTCCATACAAGGTTTAGAATTTTTATTTCTGTGAAGGAATTTTGATAGAGATTGCTTTGATTCTGTAGATTGCTCTGGGTAGGTAGTATGAATATTTTAACAATATTAATTCTTCCAGTCCATAAACAAGATTTGTCTTCTTCAATTTCTTTAATCATTTTATAGCTTTTATTGTACACATCTTTTATCTCCTTAGCTAAGCTTATTCCTAAGGATTTTACCCTTTTTGAGGCTAAATAGGGTTTTGTTTTGTTTTTCAGAGATGATCAATAATGTAGAGAAATGCTAATTTTTCTTTGTTCACTTTAGATCCTGCAACTTCACTGCATTTCTTATTTCTGGTTTTTTGGCAGTCTTTATATATAGATTTTCTAATAGCATTGTAGCTCCCACAGACAGACAATTTCACTTCTTCCTTTCCAATTTCAGTCATTTATCTTTCCTAATTCTCTAGCTGCAATTGCCAATACTCTGTTGAAGTAGTGAGAGTGGGTATCCTCATCCTGTACTTAATATTAGAGAAAAACTTTCAGTTTTTCACTTTTGAGGATATTAGCTCTGAGCTTATGGTATCTGGCCTTGATTGTGTTGAAGTTTTCTAGTCTCTAAAAAAACTAGTCACTTATTTCTACTGTGATTTTTCTTACTCCTTCCTTCTACTAACTTTGGGCTCTTTGTTCTTTTTCTAGGTCCTTAAAGTAGAACATTAGGTCATTCAAGATATTTTTATTTCTTCTTGTTTTGGCAGTACTGGGATTTGAACTCAAGCCTTGTGCTTGGCTAGGCAAGCACTCTACCACTTGAATCATACCTCCAGCCCCTTTTTCCTAATGTAGGCACTTATCACCATAAATTTCCTGCTTAGAATTTTCATTTGCTATCTCCAGTAGGTTTAATATGCTGTTTCTTTCCATTTTCACGTCTCAAGATTTTTTTTTTTTTGGGGGGGTGGTGGTACTGGGTTTGAACTCAAGGCTCATACTTGCTTAACAAGCACTCTTATCACTCAAGCCACACCACCAGCTTTTTGGCTTTTGTGTGTGCGTTATGTATGCAACTGGGGTTTGAGCTCAGGGCTTCACACTTGCAGGAGCTCCCAAAGCAGAAGCTCTTCTACCACTTGAGCCACACTTCCAATGCTGCTTTAGTTTTTTGGATAAGGTCTTGTTAACTTTTTGCCCAGGCTGGCCTCAAATTGCAATCCTCCTAATCTCCACCATTTAAGTAGCTAAGATTACAGGTATGCAATCACACCCAGCCCAAAGTTTTTTTTTTTTTTTTTTAATGATGCTGGGGGTCAAGCCTACAGCCTCACACATACTAGGCAATGCTCTACCACTGAACTACTCTCCCAGGCCCTTAATTTCCTTTTTGATTCCTTCTTTGACCCATTTGGTTGTTCAGGAATATGGCTAATTATCACTTTTATGAATTTTCCGCTTTGCTTTGTGTTATTTTTAGCTTCGTACCATTTGTAATCAGAAAAAAATAACTTGAGACAGTTTCAGTCATCTGAAATCTGTTTTGCGGCCTAACATGTCCTGTCTTGAACAATGTTTCCTGTGCACTTGAGAATGTGATTGAAGTCACCTGCTATTATTATATTGCTGCCTATTTCTCCCTTCTAATGTTAATTTGTTTTACATACTTTGGTACGTGTATGTCTATTTGCAGTTGTCATAATCCTCTTGATAAGCTGACCACTTTGTACTTACATAATGACCTTGTCTCATTAGTTTTTGACATCATCTACTTTGACAAGTATAGCTATCTATCCCTGTCTCTTTTGTTTCATTTGCATGGAGTATCTTTTTCCACGCCTCACTTTCAGTCTGTGTCGTTAAAAATCAAGTGAGCTGGGTGTGGTGGCTCTTACCTGTAATCCCAGCACTAAGGAGACTGAGGCAGGATTGTGAGTTCAAGGTCAGCCTAAGCAACCTGAGATTCTGTCTCAAAAAACTAAGGGCTGGGGATATGGCTCAATGGTGGAGGGCATGTCTAACATGCTCAAAGCCCTGGTTCAATCCTTAACACCATAAGAAAAAAGTAAAAGTAAAAGTAAAATTCAAGTGAGTATCTTTTAGCTAGCATATGGTTGGGTCATTTTTTTTAATCCATTCAGCCATTCTGTGTCTTGATTGGAGAATTTAGTCCATTCGCATTCAAAGCAATTATTGGTAAGCAAGGACTCGCCATTAGTATTTTGTTGCTTTCCAGTTGTTTTATGGATCTTATATTCCTTTCTTCCTCTCCATTCTGATTTGATGGTTTTCTGTGGTGCTTTGATTCCTATATATTTCTGTACATCTAATACAAGCTTTTGCTTTGTGGTTAACATAAGGCTTATAAAAAACTTAAGAATCTATTTCAAGCTGAAAACTTCAATCACATACAGAAACTCTTTCACTTCCCCTCCCATGTTTTTTGATAAATTTGTATTTTTATATTTTGTAACAAACAAATAATTGTAGTTTAAATTTTTAATATTCTTGTCCTTTAACCTTTTACTAGAGATGTAAGTAATTTTTATAATACCACCACAGTATTATTCTAAATCTACTTACATTTACCAGAGTATTACAGTTTCATGTTTTCATATTAATTAGCAGCTTTTTTATTTAGATTGAAGAACCTTTTTAGAAAGTTTTGGTGGGTTTTTTTTTTGTTGTTTGTTTTTTGGTAGTACTGGGGTTTGAGGCCTCCAGCTTGCTAGGCAGGCACTATACCATTTAAGCCATGCCCAAGCCCTTTTTTACTTTAGCTGTTTTTCAGGTAGGGTGCCCTATTTTTGTCCAGGGCCAGCTGCAGGCAGCAGTCTACTACCATCTCCTGCATACCTGGGACCACAGACATGTACCACCATGCCTGGCTTACTAAGATGGAATTTCATTAACTTTTTGCCTGGGCTGGCTTCTAACTGCAACCTTCTCAATCTCTGCCTCCCAGGTAAGTAGGATTCAGATGTAAGCCATCATACCCAGCCTTTAGCACCTCTTTTAAGGCAGGTCTACTGCACCCATGTTATTCTGATTCACCTCCTGTGACAATCACTGAGAACCTCAAGATCTCTTCTGGTTTCCAAAGTCTATGACTCTGACTCTAGTTCTCTTACAATAAACCCTTTCATTTCTGATTACAGTTCTGGAACATGAGAGTTGGTCTTAGTCATAAAGATAATTTAAGGGAAATGAAATTAACTATACCAAGAGCTAAAGTGGTAAATGATAAATATTCATTTACTACAATGAGTGCTCTGTCAGTTTAGAACCATGAGTCTCAACCTGCTTTTTTTTTTTTTTTGGCAGCACTGGGGTTTGAACTCAGGGCCTCATACTTGCTAGGCAGGTGCTCTTATCACTTGAGTCATTCCACCAGCCTTTTTTAGTGATGAGTTTTGTCAAGATAGGTCTTGCCAACTATTTGCCTGGGCTGGCTTTGAACCGTGATCCTCTTGCTCTCCACCTCCTGAGTAGCTAGGATTACAGGAATGAGCCACTGGTGCTTGTCTACTCTCAATTTCCTAAAAGCTCTACTTTAAAAGAAAAAAAAAAAAAGTAACAAATATTTATGTCCTCTTATTACCTACTGACCCATTTGTACTGCCAATTATATTAAAAAGTAATTAAATAAATTAAAATAAAAATAAACACCTTTTTCCATATTTTTAATTATCATTATTGCACCAATACAGCATATGCTTTATATACATATATCTTAAACTCCATTTTCAATTTTTCAGCAATTCAAATACATAATATATTATCATCTCAAGAATACAAAGAACACAACATGGAGGAAGATTGAGAAAATAGGTTCTTAGTAGTCACTAGTGATTCTACAGAGTTTTCTTTTAGTGTTTTCTATTGGAATTTTAAAATGTCCTGCCATGGCTCTGTAAGAATAGAGCTGCCTGGAAGGGGAGACAATGAAAAAACTGGACCCAAAGTTAGAAAAGTTAAGAAGGAAATACAGGAGAAACTGTATGTTTTGAAACTAAATGTAAGGACCCCCATCAGCCAGAATGTACCTCTCCAAGTAGCTGCTAAGGGAAGAAATTATATCTTCCCATTAATCCTCAAAATTGCCCATTAACAAGCAAAATAGATAGTATCCACTTATCTGATAGGGGAACTCTCTTCACAGTATTGTAAAAGGAATTATGGGGCAAAGGAAAGGAAAGTAGTGGACCAGCAACCTGCTTAAGATACCCTAGCTGGTGGATATCAAAGCCTGGAGCAAAAACCTCTCCTAAGTAAAGCTGTGACCCTCCAATTTCCTTCATAAATGACAATATAAATAAAACAGCAGCTTTCTATTGAAGAGCCAGATGGACTGAAAAAGCAATGTTTATAGAAAAGGGTCAGATGCCCAGGCAGCAAGGCAATGTGGGTACTGAAAGAAAGTTAAGCGCTTCCACCTCTCTGCTCTACAGACAAGATTAAGAACTCTAAACTCTCCAAATTTAGGTCAAATAAAGAGTGAATACAGATTACTTCTGTGCTTCAGCAACTACATGGAGCTGCAAGAAATTAAGCACTTCTATACAATATAACTTGGGAAGCACAGTCCCTTGAACCTCCTTAATCCCCGAAACACCCCCTGGTCAAAGATGTTGCACTATTCAACAAACAGAGAATAGTGAAGGTGCCACCAAAACAACCCTCTTATCACAGGAGAGACATGTAAACACACAAGAGGGCAATGAAGCTGCACCCAGCACTGGATGTTCTCTGAATAGGAAAAGTCTGAAGGAAGCTATATAGAAGAAACTCAGGACACGAATCTTTCTACAAACCTACCCCTATCAAAACTCTGAATCTTTAAATACTGAGGGTGGCCTGCCCATTGTTAGTTTTACGTGAATAGAGAAGCAAGTTTCAAGGCTTCTGTCTCCCCCAAAATTGCTAAATTGGGCTTCACAAAGAGCAACGCAAGGGTCATGAGATGATTCTGAAATAAGTTTAAGAATTTAAAAGAAGATTTTTACAGATGTTAGAGGTCACTCCCTCTCAAAAAGACACTGACTGGCCTTTTCAACCCTGCATAATCAGCCAGAAGTATGGTAAGATTCACTATTCTCCTGCCTTGGTAATAAAGCAGAAAATAACAGATACTCTCTTGGCTGTACAGCAAGTAGCAACATAGGGGAGTAACAAAAAACAGCTTCAATGCAATGGAGAAGTTATAAAAAAGATTGTCCATTAATTTTGGTCTGGGGAATGAAGGGGTTCCTAACCTCCCTCATAGATTGGTGCCCTCAAGGTCATTTATATTCTTCAAGTCTGTCCGTAATGTCCTGCCACTGCTATTCAAAACTGGACCCAGTTGGATGGCTGTGGTGCCTGGTTCGGAACAGAGCTGAAAGACAGGAGAACAGAGAAAAAGCCAGACATAATGTTAGAGTAACTATGCCATTCTTTACTTAATAGTTTCTAAGAAACTATTTTTTCAAGAAATTTCTGAAACCACACTTCAAAGAAATTCTACTTACCAAGGCCTGAAATATTCCACTCAAACCTCACCCTACCACTTTCGTCTCCTATAATCACCAGCATTCCTACATTTCCTTCCCCAGGACTCCTATAAAAGACTCTCTATGACCTGAAAATCCTCCGCTTTCCAGATCAAAGTTGCATCTGACTATCTATACCCTCTACACCTTGAGTGAGAGTATGCTGGGTACACTGTGCCCACTACCTGGATGCGGTGCTGAAGTCTCCCCACAAGTCATTGCTTGTAGAAACTGGAGCTGGTGCTGGAGTTGTAACAGGAACAGGAGAATCCAAATCTAAAAGGATATCTGAACACACAGTAAGGAATAAAAAGAAAAGGAGAAACATAACAATCTTGGAGCTGAAAACACAAAATGTCAGAGCATCTTTTGTGTGTAATAGCCAAATGCTGGAAATAACCCAGACATCCTTCCTTGAGTGATAGTTAAACATATTACAGCTCATCTATTTCATAGAATACTGCTCAGCAATAAAAAGAGAAAAACTACTGATATACACAATAATTTTGATGAATTTCAAGAAAAATCACACTAAGTGAAAAAAAAGCCAATTCCAAAAAGCTACACACTGTATAATCCCATTTATACACATTCTTAAAGTGACAGATTTGTATAGAGAGCAAGCAGATTAGTGGTTGGCAAAGGTGAGGGATGGGGAATGGAAGGCTAGGAGGCAGATGGGTATGGTTACATAGGACCCTCATAGTGATGAACTGCTCTGTAGCCTGTAACGGTTACTCTATGAACCTACATGACAAAACCGTATGAAGCTAAAGACACATACATGTACACATAAAGGAAAACACACAGCTAGTGAAATCTAAGTAAGATTAATAGTTTTAATGTCAATTTCCTGATTGTGATATTCAATGGTAGTTTTTGTAAGATGTTACCATTGAGGGACAATAGACATAGGGCAGACAAGATTTCTTTGCGTTATTTCTTACAACTACATGTGAATCTACAATTATCTCAAAACAAAAAGTTTAAAAAAAAATTTTAGATACAATTCCTCATGCCTTCTGGTGACACTTAGCAAAAGCAGTGGGCTACATTTTTGCCCCCAAAATTCCAGAAAGAGAAAGCTTACCCTTAGCAATCAATTCAAAAACTGATCTGCATGCACTGTCCAATATATTAAATTAAAATTCCTGGATTCTAACAGCTGGTTCTCTTTTTTTTCAGTAATGGGACTTGAACTCAGGGCCTATACCTCGAGCCACTCTACAAGTCCCTTTTTTGTGATGGGTTTTTTCGAGACAGGGTCTGCAAACTATTTGCCCAAGCTGACTTCAAACAGCAATCCTCCTGATCCCTGCCTCTCAGGCAGCTAGGATGATCAGTGAGCCAATGATGCCCGGCTGGTCCTCTAATCTTAAGAAAATTCCTTTGAGTTCTAATTTTCTCATTTTTATCATTTGTTTTTAATTGGCAGTACTGGTATTTGAACACAGGGCCTCATGTGTACTAGACAGGAGCTCTACCACTTGAGCCATGCCTCCAATCCTTTTGCCTTTAGTTATTTTTCAGATAGGTTCTTATCTGAAGGCCCAGGGCTGGCCTCAGAACATGATCCACCTATTTGTGCCTTCTGTATAATGGAATCACAGACATACATCACAATACCAAGCTTGTTGGTTCATGGGTTTTACTAACTTTTTGCAGGGCTGGCCTTGAACCACAATCCTCACAAATCTCCACCTTCCATACAGCTGGGATTACAGGCATACACTACCCACGCCTGGCCCTAATGTTCTCATTTTCCAAATGGGAAGATATAACTGCATCTGTTCCTTTTTTCACCATATGGTAAGGGAGAACATAAATATACACACAAACTTAAATGTGTTTTTTATTCCCAATTGCCTATCTGAAGAAATGGAATGGACTAAGAAATAACAATTTACTAAATGGCTACTATGTTCTAAAACTGTGCTAGGTGCTATAGATCATTTAACCTTACCATTCTGGAGTGTTTTTCCTTTTCATTTTACATATAAGGGAGCTGAGACTCAAAGAACACAGGCAGTATTTGCAGACTGCAGTCAGATGTAAGGTAGCAGAGCCATGACCACAATCCCCACAATCTTGGTTCATCTGACGCACATGCCTAGTAGCATCTAACCAATGAACAATGAAGGAAGTAAGCCTGTTTAACAATCGCCTGTTTTCTGACAAAAAACCCTACTAGATACCATGACTCAGTTCACCAGAAAACTCTACTCCCTTGAAAGAATCACCTTGTCTTTTCCCAACAACTGTTTCCAAGCAAAAACAGGAACATTCTCCTTGGCAAATAGGTGTTACCTTATTAAAGTGTTAAAATACAGTTTTTTAGTCAAGGCTACTATATTTACCTGCATCACTACCTCCATGGTTAGATTTTGGAATGGGTGGTGGGGTGACATGATTGCTGATGGCAACTGAGGATGGTGGAGGAATAGTGACTTTGCCTCCAGGTGGAGGTGGTAGTAAGCTTAGGCCTCCAGATCCTGCAGTTCTGGGCTTGGAAGTACCTCCTTTCTTCGTTGTAATGTTCTACAAAAGAGAAAAGAGGGGGAAAAAAAAAAGGGAGAGGGAGTGAATCCGAGAGGGATGTCACAGAATTATAGAAAAACAGAATAAAAATTTTAAAGAAACACACTCACCCCAATACTCAACTTAATGGTCTGCCCTTCCTTGAAGCCTAGGTCCAACTTGGGACGATTATCCATTTCCTGAGATTCTTTGGAAATCTCAGATTCCTGCTTTACCCACCTTTAGGAAGACAGTAAGTTATCTTAGTTAAAAATAGAATCTAACACATAAATCTGGATATATTTGGTTTATAAGAAACACAATTCCAGAAAGTGAAATGAGGGACCATGAAGAGTAGAAAAAAGGAAAGGAAAAAAAGCCAAGAAAGAGGCCACTGAGGACCCTCTGAGGAACCACACAGAATGTATCGCAGACCTGTCCCTCCCAAGAAGCATTTAGCCACTAATTCCCATCATGGCCGAGTGCCACACCAAAGTAGGTTTTCTTAGTTTCTTAGTTCTTGCAGGTTACGCTTGTGCTGAGTGGCCTTCCACAACTTCAGAGCATCCTGAAGCAAAAAGGCAGAGGTATGCCTGTCCTTGAGCTAGGAAGCTGACAGTATACATGGTACTATCCACCATGGTTGCACCAAAATCAGGTAGGCTGAAGAAACGCAGGTGCAAAAAACACATCAACTACATAAGGTAACAGAATTGGAGCATAAGGCCAAGTGCAGCAATTCATATCTATAATCCCAGCTACTTGGAAGGCAGAAAGAGAGGATCACTGTTCAAGGTCAGCACAGGCAAAAAACTAGTGAGACTCCCATCTCAACAAAACTGGGCATGGTGGCACACATCTGAAATCCCAGCTATGCCAAAGATTCCAGCTATGTAGTTCAAGGTGGTACAGGCAAAAATACAAGACCCTGTTTGAGAAATAACCTACAGCAAAAATGGCTGGAGGTGTGACTCAAGTGGTGGAGTGCTTGGCTAGCAAGCAGGAGGCCCTGAGTTCAAACACCAGTACCCTTTAAAAGAGAAAAAAGCATATAAGCATCATCACAAACCATTGTACAAGGTATCTAAGATATGTTATAGTCTATGTGGAAAGGAAACAGAACAGACACAAAGATGACTTCAGGAAACAAGTAAATGGGGCAATTTATATTCATAATGAACAAGATTAACAAACAAAGAAATGAGGAGGCAAAAGAGACAGCACCCATTCAACTGAGAAGTGTGCTCCCTTAACCATTTAAGCTATAACTGAGGACAAGCTTCACTTACTTGAAGTGATCTTGCAAAGAGACATTAAAGTCAAAGGCATCTCCCCGGTCTGTGAATCCAATGCCAATGAACGCGCTCCGCCCTGTGAAAGACAGTAATACCCAGATTGGATTCTATATGAAAATGTCCGCCCAATGAAACATATTGCTTACCCAACTACACAAAGGTGGTGAACGTGATACATTTGCTGACAGACCAGCAGTCAAGAAATTACATACAGCCCACAGGTAAAATCCTTCCACAGCTTGTTTTTATAAACAAGAAACTTCAATTTGGATGCAAATTGTCTATGGCTGCTGTGATACTGCAACAGCAAAACTAAGTATAATAGCTGCAACAAAGATTATTTGAGACTGGCACCAGTGGCTCACGAAGGATCATGGTTCAAAGCCAGCCTGAGCAAAATAGTTCGCAAGACCCTATCTCAAAAGACCCCTTCACAAAAAAAGGACTGGTGGTGTGGCTCAGGGTGTAGGCCCTGAGTCCAAACCCAGAACCACAAAAAATAAATAAATAAATAAATAAATAGATAAGTAAAAAGACTATTTGACCTATGAAACCTAAAATGATTATTACTTGTCTCTGGTTGGTAGCCTGGTATAACCTATGAAGAAATGACTAAGATTTACTTCCCTAGAAACAAATGATTCAAGAGTCTCACCAAAAACCACTGAAAACAATAAATAAGCAAAATGTGTTCATAGGTAATCCTACCTATTAACTACCACATCTTGAACTTGTGTTCTTATTATTGCAAATAACTTGTTAATCCTCTCCTTCATCAACTATACTAACTTTCAAGAAAGAGGAAGAGAAAAATGCAATCAGGATAAAATTTCATTGAAGTGCATTGACTACTTTCCTAACCTCATCCCATTCACAATCCCAGATCCCTTACCAGTACCATCCTGGATCCGGATTACAAAGTAGCGGCTGGAATCTGTCACTGTCTCCACAGCAATACCAGGATACTGTTCTACTGGTGCTTGGGCAAAAAGCTCCCCTACAGATAAGAAAAAGACCTCTTTGTGCAAAGAAATCAAAAAGCTAGAACTCCAATTAATACGTATTTCCATTCCAGCCCACAATTGGAAGGTACTTATAAAAGCACAGCCAGGCATGGTGGCATGTGCCTGAGATCCCAGCTATATGGGAGGCCCAGAAAGGAGCATCATTGTTCAAAGCCAACCCCAGGCAAAAATGTGAGACCCTATCTGAAAAATAACTAAAGCAAAAAGGGCTGGGGGCGTGGCTCAAGTGGTAAAGCACCTGCTTAACAAGCACAAAGCCCTGAGTCTAAAACCCAGTACTGCTTTTAAAAAAAAATGCACATCAAACCAATAATATCCTTAAGGTGTTAAGAGGGTCACCTGCACTTTACCTGAAACTTTATCTTCAAGTTTGATATAGGCAATCTTCCCTTTTGAAGTGATTCGCAGGCGACCAGTCCAATCAGGCTGGTCTAATTTCCAGTCAGATGCCCTAGGACAGGAAAATGGGAAGCCTCAGGCCTCAGATAAATCTCTTTAATACACTAAACCTACCCAAAAATCATTTGCCGTATTTCAATTTCCCTGTCCTAGACTGCCTATTCTTTCCACCTTGTAAATCAATAAGACTACCTCATGATCACCTTACATAGATGCCTCATGTTACATATAGTCTAAAGCAAATAAAAAAGCAATGTTATGGCCAGACAATCTTAGCATCTATTAAGTATCAAGAAAAATATGTAAAAGTACAAATAAAAGCAATAAAAAAATAAAATTTCTTGGAACTGGGGGTATTAGCTCAATAATAAAGCACTTGCCTAACATACGCTAGGGTATAATCTCCAGCACATACAAAAATGAATAAATAAAAAGTCAGGCATGCTGGTGTACACCTGTAATCCAAGCACTCAGGAGGCTGGGGCAGGAGGATCATTGAGTTCAAGGCAAGCAAGCCTGTACACAGTGAGACTCTATCTCAAAAGACAAAAAAATTAAAAATAAAATTTCACATAATAATGCTATTTTCATCCTGCAAATGCTTTATTGCAGTAACAACAAATTCTATCACTAAATAAAATATACTGTGGTAACAGAAGCCTTCCCAAATCACTAACCATATTATCTTTCAACGAATTCAACTAATACTTATGGAGCTCATTAAGTGTCAGGCACTATTCTAGGTGCTTGGGATAGAAGAGTAAAGAAAACATTCTTCCCCTCATGAGGCTTACATCCCAATACAAGAGAGGCAATAATGGGAAACATAACAAACAACACAATGAGTAACTTAGAAGGTTATAAGTGCTGAGATAAAAAGGAAATGAAGAGGCAAATGAGGAAGTCTGGGATGGACAGGCTATTCAAGGGAGTGGTGAGGGACTGAGGATGTAGTTCTGTGGTGGAGTGCTTGGCCAAGCACATGCCAGTCTCTGGATTCCATCCCCACAAAGAAACTCTCTCTCACACGCACACGCGCACACACGCACACGCACATACACACACACGCACATACACACACGCACATACACACGCACATACACACACACATACACACACGCACACACACACGCGCGCGCACACGCACACACATACACACGCGCACACACACACACACACACAAAAGAGGTTGGTCAAGTTAGGCCTCATCATGCTGAAATGTGAGCAAAAATACAGAACAAGTGAGAACAAGCAGATACCTAGAGAAAAAGCATTCTAGGCATGTGTAAAGGTGCTAAGATGGGAATATGCTTGGGATGTTTGAAGAACAGCAAGGAAGCAGAGTAAGAAATCAAGTGGAAGACGTTGACAGGGCCTCACAGGCCATCAAAAGAAAAGCTTATTATTCTGAGTAAAAGAGGCGCAATTACAGGTTTGAAGCAGCCATGAAACAATCTTCCTTATATTTTAAAGGGATTATTTTGTTCTGTGAAGAAGAGATGTAGGAACATGATGGCTGAAGCAGGGGGATTAGTGAAGAGACTAGTGAGTAACCTAGGTGAGTCATGCTGGTGGCTTGGAGGAGACAGTAGCAGAAGCGGCAAGATTCTAGGTATATTTTTAAGGTAAACACAGCAGGATTTCTAATGCGTTGGATGTGAAGCAGAAGAGAAAAAGAGACGTCAAGGATAACTCTAAGGTTTTTAACCTGAGCAAACAAGTTGCCAGTAACTGAGATGAAGAAGGCTACAGGCAGAGCAAATCCGGGAAAAAGATCAAGGATCATTTAGGATATGCTGACTTTGAGATGGTTAACAGAATGAAGAGAGGACGAGGCAGAGGCACTTGGCTATGAGAATGGAGTTCAGGAAAGACATCTGGAATGGAGACACGAATGCCTACAAAACATTAGGAAACCCTGAATATTTATAATTTGTGTTTACATGAACTTGAATGAATTCTAAGATATTATTTATGACCAATTTTACAAACACTGCATTTATGATTTATTTTGCCAGGAGTATACAAAAGGACAAAATAAAAGTTATTAATAATTCATTTCTTAAGAACCTGAAGGCTAATACTTGTAGGCTATAAAATTAGTAATAAGGTGTAGCTGAACAAGAGTAAGTTTAATAAGATAGTAAGCAAAGGGCTGAAAGAAAGTAAACATGAAAAGTTGCAGAAGTTGGGGTTTTGTTTTATTATGGTACTGGGGATGGAAGCCAGGGCCTTGCGCATGCCAGTTAAGTGCAGAGGTTATGAACAGGATTTGTAAAATAAACCCTTGTCATGCTTTTTGTTCTTGATGCTCTGCTGTCAGAGATCTCAAGTACTGGAATCTGATCCAGAGTAGAGCCAATCTATTAATCTTTTAAATGAGCCATTACTTTTTCTAGCCTTACCACCAACAGTTAAATGGGCTACTAAAAATAGTAAGAATAAGCCTATTGCATGTGTTTCTTTGGACAGGTTCCGTGTTTTTTTTTTTAATCTTGTGTAGCTAAGATCTAATATTTAACAAGTTCTCAGTAAGTGAATGGATATTGATGGCAGCAGTTTTCCTCAGTCTTGAACTCCTCTCCCACTCCAAAAATCAGGCCTGAAGATCTCTTGGTTTTGCTAGTCTTCTGACAATACTATAAACTAACCTCACAAATTTTCATTTACTGTGTCAATAAAGCTTTATATATAAATCATTATAATGATTCACAGTGAAATTCCACAGTACATTGTATTAAACCTTACAGCAGCCATGAAAACCCTATCTACCACCAGTCCCCATGAAGAAAAAGACAATGATCAAAGTAATAATGACTATTTCCAAGTCCAGTATTCTCTGCATACCTTAAAACATACTATAGAATTTAATAATAATATAGCTGGATGAGGAGGGCAGTGATGAATAAAAAGTTTATACATTGAAAAACCATTTTCTACTCATTTATAAGTTTCTCATCAACCTAAATTTTCCTTCTTGTGGTCCACAAGTGTGGTCAGTGAAAGTCTGGGAAGCAACAGCTTATTCTAGGTGAATCAAAGTCATTTATTCTCTTTGATCTTATTAGTCACTCAAAGGAAAGATTTCTCCAGCCTGCTAAAACGCTCAGTTTTATGCCTAGAGAACAAATCACACTCATAATTTAAAACATGTATGCAGACAAAAAGAAAAGTGGGGTGTAGCTCAGTGGCCAAGAGCTTGCCCAGCACATGCAGGCCTTGGGTTCCATCTCTAGCACTACCAAGAAAAAAAAAAAAAAGTAAGATTTATCAAGTATCTACTATGTGCCAGGCATTATATTCATTCTTGTGAGAGGATCTTGTAAGGTAAGTATTGTTATATTCATTTATTAATAAAATTAGAGTTAAGTGATCTGCCAAAAGTAGCCAAGTCAAATGAAGAGCCACAATTCAAACTTAGTTCTGCTTTCCTCATCCACTATACTAAAAGAGTGACTACGTCTTGGAGGACAAGAAATGTCAAAAATAAGCATAGAAGACACAGAAAGATAATGAGAAAAGGAAAAAAATTAAGAAATTGCTTTGATGACTCAATGTAGAAAAGGATAAAGGCTGTGGATAAACTAGGAGGTAAAAGTAGAGAATGAAAATGGGTGAGGGTGAGAAGGTGTTTTTAAAGGCTTAGAATAGAAGAAAAGGAATAGAACCCCACTTCAGTGTATGGTATCCTTTAGGAAGTCTTATCTCCTAAAGTTGGAAGTCATGAACTACTCTACCTTACTCAGCAGTTCAGCCAAAGTTAACATATGTGTTCGGCTGATCTATATAATCTAACTTCTTCTTTCAATCAACATTTACAGAGTGTCTACTACGACCTGCCAGACACTGTGCTAAACCCTAACGATATGGAGCTTAAAAAGACTTCACTCTGTTCAGTATACTCTAGAGAAAGAGAATATATAATTCATTACAACAGATGATGAAGAATACCGTGATAGAGAAAAGCATTAGGGTGCTGTGGAAGCCCACAGAGAGCATACCCAAAACATCATGGAAGGGTCAGGCCAGGCTTCTCAAAGGTGATGTCTACTATGAGTCATAATTATGCAGTACCTGTGACTACCATCATGCTGGGTCTTATTCATAGTCATTTTGGGGTCTGACTGATAGCTTCTTGAGTGAAGAACTACCTTTGCCAAATGGGTACAACTCACAAAACCCAATGCACAGGTCTGCAAGGACATAGTACAATGATTAATGACAAATAAACTGCTTAGTAAGGAGACAAAAATGGACCTAAGGAGAACATTTAACTTTTCAGCAAAGATAATGATAAATAACAAGAGAAAATTCATTATGGTGAAATGTGTCAGAAAAAGGAGTAAGAGCAGTATCTTGTAGTTGTAATTATTTAGTGTACCCTACCTTCTTTCACATCCATTATATGATTTCATTTTACTCTCCCCTAAGAAGGGAAGGTAAATACTAGCATTTTTTTTTTCCTGTTTACAGATGAGAAAACTAAGGCTGGGAGACATTAAAAAGAGATTTTCCCCCAACTATACAGCTGTTATGTCTCCAGGGCTCATACTCAGTAGTTTTTAACATGTAACCCAGCACATTCTCTTTCAGCTTCACAATATCCTACAACACCTTGGACCCTTACAGTCCCTGGATTACACACAGCTGTCAGGCCCTACTGAGAAAACGCTGTAGGTGAGGTTAAGAAGGGTGAGTCGAAAGGAAGGCAGAAAATACTACATAATTCTATATAATCAGGATACTATGTAACACTGTATAATCAAGATACTATATAACCAGGAACATATAAGGGATGTAGCTCAGTGGTGGAGAGCTTGCTTAGCATGAGCAATGTCCTGGGTTCGATGCCCAGCGCTGCAGAAAAATATAACGAAAACAAACAAAATACCCGTTTCAAAACATGCCCATAACCTCTGCCCATTGCAAAAAAAAAAAAAAAAAAAACCAAACGAATAGTGGATGATATTTCGTAACAGTATAAGATAAATTAGATCATACAAACAATGGCCAGCCCACAAAGAAAGAGAGAGAGAGAAGAGAGAGAGAGAGAGAGAGAGAGAGAGAGAGAGAGAGAGAGAGAGAGAGAGAGAGAGAGAGGGAGGAGGATTACAAACCGAAGGACGCAGGGGAGAGGGAACCGAAGGTGACTGGCAACAGAGCAGGCATGAATGGATGTGGAAGAAAGGGAACAGATGGATGTCCCAAAGGGATGGAGGAGGAGAGGGGGAACGATGCAGAATGGTGACTTTAAAAATAAAAAAAACGGCAGAAACAAGCCTAATAGTCCAGAGTAGATGTGGAGCGAGAGAACCGGACAATAACAACCCAGGATAGACTAGCAAAGTGAAAATCCAGAGGCGGCAATGGCAAGCGGCCACCAGCGTGCCACCAGCGGAAACAAACGTCATCCCAACAGGCTGGGCGTGTGCGGCAGTGCAGCGGGGTTGGTACCTGTAGCCGCGGTTGGAGGCCCGGGGCGGAATCCGGTACACGCTGACGTCTGGCTTTACACATAGCACAGACTCGTACTCCAACTCGCTCGCCATCTTGGCTCTGCTCTCCGCGCCGCTGGGGGCGGGGCATAGAGCCGGGGGCGGCACATGTGGGAGGGAATTGCGATCACGACCACTTCCTCTGCGTCATTTCCGCACACGCTCCGTTCCTGAGATTAACCTCTTCCGAGGCGTGGGTTAAGGGAGCCATATTGAAACTGGAAACGTTGAGACTGCACGTTTAGCCATCTTGGATAATGGCAAGGATGCCCTTCCAGTGCATTACTCACGTTATGTAAATACTGAAAAGACCGTAAAGGAAAGCGCCATCTCGCTCCTGGCAGGTGCCCGCGGTGCTGTAGGTGGGCGGGAGCCATCTTGAAACCTGCCTAAGTTTCTTACAAGAATCACTTTTTTGGCTTTTTGAGACAAATTCTCAAACTATGTATCCCAGACTAGCTTCCAGCTCTGTCCCCCTGCCTCAGCCTCCCGAGTTTTGGGATTACAGGCGATTGCCTCTGGAGTCACTTTTTAACCTTAGTTTTCTGACAGAAAAGGATGGCAGTCCTACCTACGCAGTGATCCCAGACTGAGGAACCTGTGCGCCCCTCACTTGTGCATCTTAGCCCTTACCCTCCACATCTAAACATTGAAAACACCCAGCCTAATTTATTGTCTGTTGTCACCTCCTGACTTCGGGATTTTCCAAAAGCACATGTTGAAATACTTTGCTGTACTCTTAACATTATCTTCTGAAAAATTTGAACCTGTTAAAGTCTAAATGGCATCAACTCATGACAAGTTCGGAAAGCATAACGAACTAATAGCAGCTATTTGCTCCCGATTTTATAATAACTATAAATACTAAGGAACTCTTTCCATAAATATGTTTTTCATACACGCCAAATGTAAACTTACTACAACAATAGAACATGAAAATGATTTAATTAGCAAGTGGCAAAACCAAGAGTTTATCTCATTTTATCTGACTACACCAGCAGCAGTCTTCATCACTTCATTATATTGACTGGTTCAATTATACCTTAGAAAGTAACATCTTAAAATTCAGAAAGAATTATAATACTGCCATTAAGAATGTGTAGATTTTTAGCAGTCTGCAAAAAACTGAAACTAGATCCTTGTATATCACCCTATACCAATATCAACTCAAAATGGATCAAGGATCTAAATATCAGACCACAAACTCTAAAGTTGATACAGGAAAGAGTAGGAAATACTCTGGAGTTAGTAGGTATAGGCAAGAACTTTCTCAATGGAACCCCAGCAGCACAGCAACTAAGAGATAGCATAGATAAATGGAACCTCATAAAACTAAAAAGCTTCTGTTCATCAAAAGAAATGGTCTCTAAACTGAAGAGAACACCCACAGAGTGGGAGAAAATATTTGTCAGCTACACATCAGACAAAGGACTGATAACCAGAATATATAGGGAACTTAAAAAACTAAATTCTCACAAAACTAATGAACCAATAAAGAAATGGGCAAGTGAACTAAACAGAACTTTCTCAAAAGAAGAAATTCAAATGGCCAAAAAACACATGAAAAAATGCTCACCATCTCTAGCAATAAAGGAAATGCAAATTAAAACCACACTAAGATTCCACCTCACCCCTGTTACAATTCCACCTCACCCCTGTTAGAATAGCCATCATTAGCAACACCACCACCAACAGGTGTTGGCGAGGATGGGGGGGGGAGGAACTCTCTTACACTGCTGGTGGGAATGTAAACTAATACAACCACTCTGGAAAAAAATTTGGAGGCTACTCAAAAAGCTAAACATTGATCTACCATTTGATCCAGCAATACCACTCTTGGGGATATACCCAAAAGACTGTGACACAGGTTACTCCAGAGGCACCTGCACACCCGTATTTATTGCGGCACTATTCACAATAGCCAAGTTATAGAAACGGCCAAGATGCCCCACCATGGACGAATGGATTAAGAAAATGTGGTAGCTATACACAATGGAATTTTATGCAGCCATGAAGAAGAGCGAAATGTTATCATTCGCTGGTAAATGGATGGAATTGGAGAACATCATTCTGAGTGAGGTTAGCCTGGCCCAAAAGACCAAAAATCGTGTGTTCTCCCTCATATGTGGACATTAGATCAAGGGCAAACACAACAATGGGATTGGACTTTGAGACATGATAAAAGTGAGAGCACACAAGGGAGGGATGAGGATAAGTAAGATACCTAAAAAAATTAGCTAGCATTTGTTGCCCTTAACGCAGAGAAACTAAAGCAGATACCTTAAAAGCAACTGAGGCCAATAGGAAAAGGGAACCAGATACTAGAGAAAAGGTTAGATCAAAAAGAATTAACCTAGAAGGTAACACACACGCACAGGAAATTAATGTGAGTCAGCTCCCTGTATAGCTATCCTTATCTCAACCAGCAAAAACCCTTGTTCCTTTTTATTATTGCTTATACTCTCTCTACAACAAAATTAGAAATAAGGACAAAATAGTTTATGCTGGGTATCAAGGGGTTGGGGGGGAGAGGGAGGGGGCGGAGTGGGTGGTAAGGGAGGGAGTGGGGGCAGGGGGGAGAAATGACCCAAGCCTTGTATGCACATATGAATAATTAAAAAAAAAAGAATGTGTAGATTTGACTATTCTCAAATACCATTGACAGGAATGTGACTTGGTACAGCGTTTTGAAGAGAAATTTAGCAGACTTGATCAAAATATGTTACATAACCTTCAATTTAGCAATATCACTAATAGATATTTTAGAGAAATCTTTATGGTACAAAAAAGAATGTGTAATAATGGTTATTACAGCATTGTTTTGATAATGAAAAATGAAAACAAAACAGACATCTAATCAATAAGAAATGGTTAATGGCATTTGTATTACAATGGAATGATTTGCAGTAGAGATTGTATACAGATACTAAGGGCATTGAAAGAGATCCAAGATTAAGAAAACAAACAGTACAAAGAGCACATGCAGCATTACACATTTATTTCAAAACATGAAAATAATATATATGAATGTGCTGGAAAGAATCTCAAAAGGTACAGGGTTACTGTGAGAGACACTTCCTATCCTACACATTTCCCTCTTTTTAAAAATTTTTATAAAGAGGATATATGTAGCTATTACCTTCACTGAATATAGGTAAAAAGAGAAAGACAGAAAAGTGATTATTTCCTATTTCTGAGCCTATATCTCATCTGGAGCCTAGATCATGCAACTATCCCACATTTTTCCCCTCTTCTGTGAGATCATTGACAATCATTTACTGAGGACTCTGGTCCCTTGTTCACCTTCTCAATGTTTTGCATTCTCCCTCTCCTCCCAATCTTGCCCTCTTAGAGACTTCCAAGTCCATATAGTTAACTCTTTCCAGCTTTACATTTACCTGACCACAAATCCATCTTTAAATTTATTTCATCTCACCTCCTGGACCTCACAGGACTTTTACACACACACACACCCCAAGTAGCTCCATTTCTGAAATAATTGGATTCTATATCCTGTGTACAACAAACTAGTTCTAACTTTTCTCACCACTAAACTCCACTACACCTTGTTATTCATGTTCTTCAAGGATAGCCTTTTCCTATTTATCCTTTTCTCTCCTTCTTTCAACTGTTCTCTTGCCAGCATCCTTAAGCCTCCTTTCCTCTTCAAGCATCATCACCAACCCCAAAGATTACAGTCATGTATAATCTAACCATCCACCCTTAAGAGCAAATTACACAATTGTAGAAATTGGTATCTACAAAGCATTATGATTTTTGAGTCTCAGCTTTGCTGTTAACACCCACATTTGGCATTACTAGTTTTTAAAAATCTATTAGCATATAGTAGTTGTACAGGGGATACATTGTAATATTTATTTATATGTTTACAATATATTTTAGATTTATCACCTCCATTGCTCTCTCTCCACCCTCTTCTTAGAACAATTTCAACATGTTTCATTCTTCTGTTTTTATATATGAATACAAAATTCAACATTGCTATTTTTTATTCTTATTTCCTTCAATGGTTGTTCCAAGTATTACTGCTCTTTTCAATCCTTCACATATAAATATCTTACTATTTATCTTACTAGTTTATCACAGATAAACTGTCTTACTATTTCCCTAAACAACAACAAAAAAGTTTTTCTGACCTCTCTCAACTTAACAGCACTCTATTTTCAATCCTGTCTGCATCTTTACCTTTCCTCCTGTACACTTATGGGTAGAATTCTCTACTTTCCAACCTTCTCAGAAACTGGATTCATCAGTTATTGCTTTCCTTTGCAGTATCTTAAAACTTCCATTTTCCATTCATCCTTTTTCCTCAGCATATAAACATATTCAAAGCCAGGTACCAGTGCTCACACATATAATCTAGCTACTTGGGAGGCTGAGATCTGGAGGATCAAGGTTTGAAGTCAGCCCGAGCAAATAGGTCCTGAGACACCCCCCCCCCATCTCCAAAATAACCAGATCAAAATGGACTGGAGGTGTGGCCCAGGTGGGAGAGTGCCTGCTTTGCAAGCATGAAGCCCTGAGTACAAACCCCAATCCCATCAAAAATAGGAACATTCAAGTTCCTTCCATCTTTAAAAAAAATTTTAAAAATTCTTACTTGTCTGTCTTTTTTTTCAGATAAATTTAAATTTATCTTCTCTCAATTTCTCAAATTTAAAGTTCTCCATCTTTCACAGTCAATAACCTAGTAAAAGTAGCTCATAGTGTTACAAATCGATTATCCTTTCAATTCTTAATTCACTATTCTTAACTACTGCTCCTACCACCCCATAATAGTGAAAACTATTGTCACTAAGGTCACCAGTGACCCTTAAATTAGCAAATCTAATAGGACCATTTTATTTACCAATTTATAATTATAAAACATATTCTGTTTTTACTTCCTCCCTGTTCTCACTACCATAATTCAAGCCTTTATCTTCTCTCTCTCTCTCTCTCTCTCTCCCTGGGACGTACACTCCTGCCATTCACCCTACTTCTGTTCTCATACCTACCATGCACAAAAACCTACATCAAATCACTTCCCTGCCCAAATTCCTCAATAATTTTCCAGTATTGGTAGGATAAAATGCAAACTTTGCAAGGTATATAATTCCCTTCATTATCTAGCTCCAGCTAATTGTAAAGATAAAG